TTTGCTGGTAGAAACATATGGTGAACACGCTCCATCGATTAGAACATGTGAGACATAGTTTCGACAATTTAAAAATGGTGATTTCAATATGAAAGACAGTGAGCGCTCTGGTAGACCACAAAAATGCGAAGACGAGCAATTGCAGGAGTTATTGGATGAAGACCCAACTCAAACTCAACGGCAATTAGCAGAAGCATTACATGTATCACAAGAAACAATCAGCAGACGTTTACGAGCAATGGGAAAGATCAATAAATTCGGTAAATGGGTCCCACACAATTTAAATGAACGTCAAATGGAAAATCGCAAAGTCATTTGTGAAATACTGCTTCAACGCTACGAAAGGAAATCATTTTTGCATCGAATTGTAACGGGTGACGAAAAATGGATTTATTTTGAAAACCTGAAGCGGAAAAAATCGTGGCTTTCATTTGGCGAAGCCGATCTATCAACACCAAGGCCAAATCGCTTCGGCAAGAAGACCATGCTCTGTGTCTGGTGGGACCAGAGCGGTATTGTGTATTATGAATTCTTGAAGCCCGGCGAAACCGTTAATACACAACGCTATCGCCAACAAATGATTAATTTAAACCACGCATTAATCGAAAGACGACCGGAATGGGCCAGAAGACATGGCAAAGTGATTTTGTTACACGACAATGCGCCGTCTCACACAGCAAAACCAGTGAAAGACTTGAAATTGCTTGGACATCCTTCCGCACCCGCCGTACTCCCCAGACTTGGCGCCATCTGACTATCACCTCTTCGCATCAATGGGGCACGCACTCGCAGAGCAGCAATTTCGAGGAAGTTGGAAATGACTCGACGAATGGTTTGCCGCAAAAAACAAGCAGTTTTTCTGGCATGGTATTCATAAATTACCTGAAAGATGGGCGAAATGTGTAGAAGCTGATGGCCAATATTTTGAATAAAAAAAAATTAATTTCCCTTGAAAATTACGTTTTTTTTTACTAAAAAAACCGGAAAAAACTTATGCATACATCTCTTGATATATCGTATCAGTGGCCGGAGTTATGGATGAAGTAATAAGGTAGTAATCTTTGCGTTAAATCACGTTTTAATAGGTTTTCCGAAAAAATGGACTGCGTGGCTTTCAAAAATAAGCAGTTGCAACAGCATTTCATACCCATGCAAAGTGTGTCGATTCCAAAACATATAAAACTCGCTGATCCTAATTTTAACGTATCGGCAAACGTTAATATGTTAATCGGGGCCGAGTCCTTCTGGAGGCTCATTTGTGCGGGTCAGATCAAACAAGCAAAAAATCAGCCGACTTTGCAAAAGACACACTTTGGATGGATCATTTCCGGTATCTCATATTGAATCGGTCTTGGGAGATGGAACATGATACTACTCCTAAACCATTTTCTCTCGAGGAAAAGGCCTGTGAAGAGTCATTCCTGCATGGTGTAAAGCGAAATTTAGAAGATCGTTTTATCGTTAAGTTGCCAACAAGGCAAGACGAGCTGGATGAATTGGGAGAATGCCAAGGCTCTCCCTTCTTTCTATCTTTCTCATCATGCTGTGCAAAATGAAACGAGTTCCACTACAAAGTTCCGGGTTGTATTTGATGGCTCATGCAAGACCACGACCAGACTATTGTTAAACGACATTGAGAATAGGGATACACCACTGCAAGAAAATCTCTTCTCTATTTTGGTAAGGTTCCGAACATTCAAAATCGCTCTCACAATCGATATAGCCAAGATGTATCGGCAGATTCTGATCGATTCAACCCAGACACCATTGCAACGTATTTTCTGGCGAGAGTCACCAGATGAGCCCATTAAGACTTTTGAATTACTCACTGTCACCTATGGCACGTCATCAGCATCATTCTTGGCTATCAGAGCCCTGAGAAAGTTAGCGGACAGTACGGATTGCTATCCGATGGCGTCACAAATAGCATTGAGAGATTTCTAAGTGGATGATCTCGTCATGTGGGCCGACTCAATAGATGAAGCTCTCTCTATCAAGAAGGAGATCACGGCATTGCTGTAGGACGGGAAATTCGAGCTCAGAAAATGGGCATTCAATGCTCTTGCCCTCCAGGATCAAAATTCCAGTGAGCCAAGAGAATTCACCTTATCTTCAGACAAGAACTCCGAGAAGAAGGCGTTAAGCATTGCATGGGATTGCCAAGCTGATGTATTTAAGTATTCGTCCATCGATAATCTGCCTCGTCTGGAGACGGCTACCAAACGTTGTTTGGTATTTTATCATGCATATCTCTTATTTTTGACCCACTGGGGCTGCTAGGTCCAGTTACATTACTCACTAAGTTCATCATGCAGACTCTGACGATATAAGCTTGATTAGGATGAATCGATTCCCTTAGAGTTACATACCAAATGGAGACGCTTCGAAGCGGAGTTACAGGAATTGCATGGCATACGCATTCCTCGTCTTGTCACCATCACAGAAGAATATACAGTTTGGAGCTACATGGATTCTCAGACGCTAGCGAAATTGCATATGGAGCATGCATTTATTTTATTTATTTTATTTATTTATTTACGCTCCACTTCAATCAACGGTGCTTATCGCATACATCTACTTTGCTCCAAGTCCAGAGTGGCGCCGTTGAAGACGTCCCTGTCCCTTCCGCGCCTCGAGTTATGTACATTGTTGCTGGCTCGTTTCATCAACAAGATCTCAAAATGTCTCACCTGTCCAATATCATCCATTCATCTATGGACAGATTCTACAATTGTATTATCATGATTGCAATCGTGCAATCGAGCCTGGTCAACCTTTGTGGCAAATTGCATTGGTGAGATACAGGAATTAACATCGATTCAGCAATGGAATCACGTTCCGAGTCTGGACAATCCCGCGGACCCACTGTGCCGGGGCGTCATGCCGGGTTCCCTGGAGCAATTGGAGATCTGGTGGTCGGGGCCCGTCTGGCTGGGACGTGACAGAGAAAGCTCAAAGAGCCTCAAAAGGCTCTACTTACGGACGTGGCCAACGTCCCTGAGCGAAAACTTAAGGCTCTCACCGCAGTGAGCGCTGGTGCGCAAAAACCTGATGTATTCCTTTGGTATTCAAGCTTTAACAATCTCATTCGAGTCTTCGTGTATATGATTCATTTTATAAATGGTTCCAAGAGTTCAGGATTCATCCGACCATTCTCAGGAGAGCTCATCTTTGCAGAACAAGGATATTCCGCCTATATCTTTCAAGCAACAGCAACAGGCAATTTATCGTCTGATTAAAATGATACAAACGAGGCATTTTCCAAGTGAAGTGAAGGCACTTGGCAACCACAAGGCTGTTCCTACGAACAGTACTATCTTAAAATTAAATCCATTTCTTGACGATTCCGGCATCCTACGTGTCGTTTGAGAGAATCCTCCCTTCCTTATGCCTCCAAGCATCCCATGCTGTTGCCTGGAAATCATCCATTTTCCCGCTTGATTGTGATATACGAGCATGAAAGGCACTTTCATGCTGGACCATAAGCTACTCTGGTCGCGGTGCGTAAACATTACTGGCTCACTTCGGCGCGTTACGTCATTCGACAAATCCTCAAAAGATGTATCGTCTGTTTCAAGAGTTCACCAAAACTCGCTTCCGCTATCATGGGAAACTTGCCGGAACCGCGGGTTAAAATATCTTCGAAGATAATTTGATCAATGTAGAGTGGATTATCCCGGCCCTCTCTATTACAAGGAAGGTGATAGGAGATCCACTAAGCTAATAAAATGTATTGCAATTTTTATTTGTTTGGCCACCAAAGCGATTCATATTGAATTGGCATCTAATTTATCGTCAGAAGCATTTTTAAACGTCTTCGTTTAAGGTAGTTCGTGGCAAGAAGAGGTCTCCCTTCAGACATTTTTTCTGACAATGGACTAAATTTCGTCGGCGCCGAATGCGAATTGAGTGAGTTAAGGGATCTGCTGTGCAATGAATCAACTCAGCAACATATCCTGGATCAAACTCGAATTATAGGAATGAAATGGCACTTTATTCCACCACGATCTCCCCACCATGGGGGTTTATGGGAAGCTGCCGTGAAGACGATCAAACGACATTTAATTCGCATTACAAAGAATTCCAGTTTGAAACGAGAGGAGGGGGAAACATTGCTCATCCAGATTGAAGCGATATTGAATTCGCGTCCTCTCACACCTCTTTCCGAGGACCCTAATGACTTCATCTCTCTAACTCCCGGGCACTTTTTAGTGGGTACACCTCTCACAGCGTATCCAGAACCATCCCTGGACGAGGTACCTGTAAACCGTCTCTCCCGATGGCAGCACATACAGCTATTGCGACAGTATTTTTGGAAACGATGGACGCGAGTACCATCACCAATGCCAGGAATGTAACAAGTGACAGATAAACGAATCATCCATACATGTCGGCCAAATGGTTATCATCAAAGAAGACAACACTCCTCCTATCATAGCCTCTGGGAAGAATTCAAGACATACATCCAGGCAAGGATACCATAGCACGCGTTGTAACGGTACGGACTGCTAATGGCAGTTACAAGCGACCGATTACTCGTATCTGTCTACTTCCAATGGAAAGCTAAGATCTAATTATGACATTGGAAATTTGACGTTTTTTGTGTATCTCTTGGTGTTCATGTTCATGTCTTTGCGTTATTATCTTCATCGTTAACAACATGATGTTATTTTGTTGATCAAACATATTCATTTTGTATTTATTGAAAGGCGATTGTTTCAAGGGCGACGGTATGTTGGCGCTTATCAGAGTGTGTGTGGCTTAGTGCCAGCCCGTTGGCTGTGCTGCGTGATCGTGGCGTGCTAGCGACGTGTCATGTCGCTGATGGGGTCCACCGAAGGGGAGGGCATGCGCGCGATTATCCTATCTGTGTGTAACCGCCGCGCTTGTCTCTATCGGTTTTCGAGATGATTCCCTGTGCGATCTTCTTGCGGTGAACACGTACAAGACCGGTGCAAAAACTAAATTTTTATTCTTTGACCTAATAGTATACGCGAGTGCAAGTCTAAAAATAATAAAGTATTTTATATCATAGCAAGATTTTATCTTTTATCTCGCGCCAATAGCTTCATGCAAGCCATAAGGCATGAGACACAAGTCTCCAACAAAGAGAAAATAGCGCTCCACATAGCGCAATGGGGACATTGAGGTCCTCACCCTAACAGTAATCATTTTTTCTAAAACAATGTAATGAGCCTTTTTTTCAATACTTTTCAGTTATAAAAGTTGGAAGTTACGGAACCGCCGCGGCATTACTTAAGCTAAGATGCTCGTATCCTTTTTAATGATGCAAGGATGGAGTGGTCATAGGAAGTTTTACGCAAGACTTTTTAATCAATCTTTTAGAAATAAAGACAATGGTATATCTAAATCAACTGTCATTCATTTGAGCATTTGACATCCCTTTAACCCAGCTCGCCTTATCTACCAGTTTTTAATTCCTACTTTCTCTAGACCAGGATCTGGAACTTCGTCAAGTTATATCTCTGAATAGAAAACATATTTTTAATTGATCACATGCAAAATTGGTATCTCTAGAGTAGACAAAAACAAATAAACAAAGATGAAACAAAAAATATTTTATTCTTAAATTACATCATAAAAAGTTAAGTCTGAATTGCAATGTGAAAAATCGCATTAAATATGTCATATCCCAGTATGGCGAGCTAGAATTAAAAGAATATTACATATTACAGCAAATACTCAAATTGACCCTCCGCAGTCTGACAATGTGCTAGACGATTATAAAAACTTAAGACTGTATTTCTACAAAATTCGCGAGGAATGATTCTAAATTCATTTATTATTCATTAACATAAATCATTAAGATTTCGAGGTTTAGTATTATAAATTTTTTCCTTTAAATTTCCCCATAAAAAATAGTCGAGTGGATTTAAATCAGGCGATCGTGCTGGCCATTCAATATAACCCCTTCTTCCTATTCCTTATTTCTATTCGGAAAAACTTCATTCAGATATTGACGTACTCGTAAACCGTAGTGAGGTGGCGCCCCATCTTGCTGGAACTAAAATGTCATTGAAGTTTTGACGAGCGATGTTTCGGATTGCTGGAACTATTTCATCTTGAAGCATGGCTAAGTATTGTCAGTTTAAATTACCTTCAATAAAGAAAGGCCCAATAATGACTTTATTTAAAATTCCAGCCTATACGTTCACTTTTTGTTGATTCTGAGCCTCATACATCTAATGAAGATTTTCATCGCTTCAATATCTGCAATTATGTTGATTTACATTCCCGGTTAGCTCAAAAGTAGCTTCATCTAAAAATAATGTTGACTACAAATAAAAGATTTCTATCAATATTTAACATCATACTTTCGCAAAATTCAATGCGACGATCAAAATCATCTTCACATAGTTCCTGCACCAGATGAATCTCGTATGGATGAAATTTCTTCTTTTTTAGAATTTTACGAACTGACATAGGATCGATGTCATATTGTTGTGCAACTTTGCGAATTGAATTACGTGGATCTTCAATAAAAGACTGTAGAACATTCAATCTTTTTTTATCAGGATTTGTCAGCTATCGTTGATCTATCTTGTCAATTACAGTCTTTTACAAAACTCATTTCTTCAAAACGTTGTACAGTACGAATAACAGTCGATTTAGCTATACCATTGTTCTCCATTCCTAGAGTTTGATTGAAAAGTTCTGTCACATGTGCGTAAAACCTCCTATGATCACCCCATCCTCGCATCATTAAAAGAGATATATACGCTCCTGTTCAGTAAGCATTATAAAACATTTTAAATACTTTATAAACAAAGATAACTATGTGGCGATAAACAATCTCAGAACAGAGTATCGCGAAAAAGTATACTTTCACAATCGCAGGTCACAGAAAGAGTGAAGTTACCAAGAGAGATCTCTAGCTTATGTAGTCTCCAATTTTGTTGAAAGAGTGGGAAAGATAGGAGATA